GGTCCTCCTTAGTCTTCATCCTCCTGTGACTCATTTGCGTTTCAAATCTACTGAAGTAATTCACATATCAATAATTTTACCAATTAAATATCCAAAGTCCATCTGTAGATTGCACAGACCGTGTATGTCCATGGTGTGCATTAGATGAACTCTCTGCAAGTGTACCAAGTCCAAGCACTGTGGCCACGGAAGCCTCCATCTGACCTCAAAGCACACCTGGAGATGTGCAGGCTCAGGTAGGAACCTCTGCAGAAGGCAGAAGCTGCGGAGACCCTCCCCACAAAGGCAATGGCAGCAAAAGAGTGGGTAGAGAGCCTCCAAGAGAGGTGCCCAAGAGCAGTGCAAACTGCTTATAGACCTTGCAAACTGTTGCCGTGTTGGACACAAGGCACCTGGCCCGCAGAACCACGAGGATGGAAACCTGGTATGGGACACTGCCTGCGCCTGCTTGCACCCGCGTGGACTCTTGTAGGAGCTGATCTCTGAATAACATGCTGATGGGCTGAAAGGACCATGTGAAATGTGACGTAAATTCACACTGACATGAAGTCAAAGGGGCTTACTATGGATCCTTCAGGGTAAACATTGGTCCAGTCAGGTTGTACTTATTATTGGTTCTCCTTACTCCTTTGCATCAGCTCTTTAGATTGCAACTGTCCATGCCTTGGAAGGCTCAGCACTATAGTTGGGAAACACTCAACTTGTTTAATTTCATGATGACAAATTAGGGTGAATCACATGAAAAATCTCACCCATAATTCATTTAGATGACATTTACATCAGGCTTGGAGAAGGGTCCTAAAGAGATTTAAAACTTTGGAGTGGTTGTGAGGGAATAGGACGATGTTAGTAAGAGATAAAGACATGGGAGTGGGAGGACGGGATAGAAAGCGATGGTTGGAAACCATGGGCCCCTCAGAGTTTATAGATTGGAACTCATGTGTGCCCTGGTGGATATCAATAATATATGGTGTCTTTTTTGGCAAATTTCCCAGGGATACTTGATTCTTAGTTGAGATCAGGACTGTTGTATCATGAACATATCACTTTTTTTTCTTCCCTGCAATGTAGGGACACAGTGTGCATTCCTCCTGTGACCTGAGGGTGCACAATCTAGACAAGGTCTGGGAGCACACAGCTATCCCCCTGCAGAAACCAAATCTGTCATTGCCTATTCATAAAACTCTGTGTCCACAAATACGACAAATGCCTGTATGTGATGTAAGGTGCTCCTTGTGTGGTGTTTTTACAGCAGCAGTAATAGAACACGCTCCTCCCCAGTTTGTGTATGTGTTAAACTCACACTCTCATGCTTCAGCACACGCAGCCATTAGTAATCAATGAGTTGCTTCCAACTTAATCTTCTTACTACAGGGCATAGGGTGACCTTGGTCCCAGGCAAATAAATCTTACCCTTATTTTCCTGTGTAACCTCAAAATTTCCAGGTTCCTTATTTTTACTGCCTTGCAACTTCATTCTTTTGGAGCACTGAAAACATTATTAATTTACATTGAATCCAGTTTTTTTATTATAGTTGTAGTCTGTGTTGTAACAAAAGAGACCAACTTTTTCATGTGTCTGCGTTTGTGTGATGATGAGTAGCTCACTTTATAATAAGCAGAAGCTTAGAACATTTGATTAAACATTAACAGAGCAACTGAAGATTTAAACTGAAATGTTTTGCATCTTGTTTCTCTCTGATTGTTAACTTTCTGTGTATCTTTTCCATACTGGGAATGCAAATCAAAGCCTCACAATCAGTAGGCAAGCCGACCACTGAGCTGTATCCATGGCTCTATTTGCATACATTGGGAAATTAATCAGCATGAATATCCAAGAATGCTGACTCACATAGTCATGTGTTGAGATTTTAAACAAATATTTGAGTTAAACATGATCAAGTTTGATGGAGTGTGGTCTTTATGTAAATGCTGAAATAGTAAAATTATTGTAAACAACATGAAGGTCATAAGCTGCCTGGAGATAGGATGCAGGAGGGAAGCAGCAGGAGGGAGGGATGGCAGAGGAGCCCCAGGAAACACTGCAGGATGACACGTGTGTTCCCTGTTCTGTCCGTGTGTGCTTGTGGAAGATACTTGTGTGTTAATACTTCTCAGGTGCTCACTTAATAGCTGGGCAGTTTACATGTTCGATCTGATGAAGCTATCACGGATAAACTGTCTCTAAATATAGATAAAGAGTGAGCGAGTTAATGACAGTTGAAAATGAGAGATTCACGGACAGGCATCCACGTGAACACTGGCTCTGTTTCCTCTGAGCAAACAGCAAAACTCAGCAAAGTCACACTTGTGCTCACCACAGGAAGAGGGGAACAGGAACATCACCAGGTTCCCCTCTCTGTCCAGGACCTGGAACAGGAAGCAGTTTGTTCACAAATTTGGAGAGCCTAGGCCCAGATAGTGTGGAGAACATTTGCAGGGCATCAGCTCTGCTATAGAAGAGGAAACTGTGTCCCACACTTTCATAATTTTACATGAATTTTACTTTCATCATTTTCCAAGCAGACAAGTTTAATAGAAAGATGCATGCTATGTGTACATGACAAATAAAAGTAGGTGAAGAGATAAATTCAATACATTATCTCAATATGTGTTTTCCTATAATCGTAAATGAATTCATTGGTAACAAACTATCCCAGCACACTCTCACTGGATGTGGGCACTGCCCTCTCTGAGTTATCCATCCCCACTGCTGTCTATATAGCAGAAGGTCATGCAAATAGGGCCTCACTGTGCTGTTAAAAACCAGCCCAGCCCTGTCCCTGCAGCTCTGCAGAGAGCCCAGCCCTGGATGCCCAGGTCCTCCTCCCTCTTGGTGATCAGGATTGAACACAGGCAGCGCAACATGGAGCTTACCATGTGTTGGGTTTTTCTGTTTGTAATTTTGAAAGGTAAATTATTTAGAGCAAAAGATACCGAGGGCGTGAGTGTACACAGTGGATGTTTGTGACAGTTTCCTGAACAAGATGTCTCTGTGTTTCCAGGTGTTCAAGCAGAGGTGCAGCTGGTGGAGTCCGGGGGAGGCTTGGTGGCACCTGGGGGATCCCTGAAACTCTCCTGTTTGGTGAGCAGCCTGAGAACCGAGGACACGGCCGTGTATTACTGTGCAAGAGACACAGTGAGGGGACCTCAGTGTGCGCCCAGACACAAACCTCCCTGCAGGGGCGCTATAGTCCAGCAGGGGTCACTGTGGTTCAAGGAGAACAAGGCAGGGCCCCAGCAGCAGGTGCAGAGAAGGCAGCAGAGGGGTGAGGGCTTCCTGTTGGCCTCTGGGGTTTCCCTTCCGTATTAACATCACACGACCTGAGCAAACCTTGAAATGCATGAGCTGCAATGAAGTATCCAAGTATAAGTGAACATTCCGTTAATATTGTTGAAGTATGGAGTTTCACCTCATATATCTAACTTGCACTTGATGGGTAAACCCTGGTCCCTGGTGTGATGACTTCAAACACAGGCAAACATGATCTGAAGTAACTAGGAAACTTTGTCAACTGCATTTTCTTTTCAGTGTCAACTCATCATTATAAAAAATTGTATCTGCTAATTTATTCTCAAGTGTGAGGATTTGTCTCATACAAGAATACATGATACAGATTAAGGAATTAAGTCTTTCCCAACCCAATTGGCAGAGTCTGAAAACACCCAGCTCTCTCTTCTATCCTTGGCCACCGCAGGATGTCCGGTCCTCAGGCTCAGCCCCAGCACCTTGTAGAGTCCCGTGCTCAGGGAGGAGGGAAGAGCTAATTTATTCTCAAGTGTGAGGATTTGTCTCATACAAGAATACATGATACAGATTAAGGAATTAAGTCTTTCCCAACCCAATTGGCAGAGTCTGAAAACACCCAGCTCTCTCTTCTATCCTTGGCCACCGCAGGATGTCCGGTCCTCAGGCTCAGCCCCAGCACCTTGTAGAGTCCCGTGCTCAGGGAGGAGGGAAGAGAGAAACTGGGCTGGACTCAGGGCGGAGTCCAGGGGCCTTGCTGTGCTCTTCCTATCCGAGGGGGCAGAGCAGGGGTTGGGACTACGCTTTTCCTTTGGACTTTAGAAATTGTAACAATTTTAAAACAGACTGTAACACTTCTCCCTCTAAATCCCCCCTCTCTCTTTCTCTCTCCTCTTTCTTTATCATCTCTCATCACTAGGATTCAATCTATGTATCAGTAGAAGGTGAAGAATACATGAGGGAAAGTGCTCAGGTACGATAACATTCATTTTTCTAAGAAGATTCTCATAATTCTGTATTCATACATTTTCTATATTCTATCTCACTTTTATCTCTGTTAATTCTGTATTTCCATCACACATGTATTCTCAAATTTTCCTAAAATGATCAAATATGCTTCTATACTTAATAATATCTTTCTTACAGCTATACTTTTCTGTGAAGAAATGTTTTAGTGAACATAAGTTCATTTCCACACCCAATCCCCACACACGAACATTTTAGTTCTTTTTTGTTGACCCCCAGTCTCTTGATCCTATTCCCATTTCGGAGACATTTGTCAACTCACTATCATGTATTTAACATGCTATTTATTGTCAGTTTTTCACATTAAAGTTTTGTATTAAGACTTGTTTGCAGTACATAATATTTACTTCCACTTTAGAAAGTAGGTGTTTGTGCTTATCACATCTTGATTCCTGTTATTCCCCTTACCCTCCCTTCCTTCCTCCATATTGGGTTTCTGGTGGTAACACCCTCACACACACTGCTGTACATCTCCATGTGTATAGAATGGATCAGAATGATGCCAAGATTCTACTTTAATAATGAGGAGATGGAATATAAAATCAATAACAGGAAATAATATAAAACTAAGGGGAAAATTCCATAAACACAAGGCTGTGTCCAGGAAGAGATCCACATAACTGCCTGGCCTTTACCTCTTTTTATTAACAAAAATGAAATTACACAATCTAAATTAAAAACGGAACATGTGTTCCACGTCTCTACCAAAAACTCTTGGGAAATATTACAAAAATGGAAAAATGAATAAACACACTGCACTCAGACGTGTGAAGACACCTAAAATTCACAATGACTTAGATGGTACATGTCCTTTACAGCTAGGGCTATAAAGGAATACTCAGTAATTTATGTTACTGCTCTAATTGTCCCCGGCTTGTCTGGAGGGCTACATTGGATGAGGTTCTCCAGAGCAGCAGAGATAAACCAGACACATAGTGACAGCACACAGAAAGAGACATTTCCTCGGGAACTGGCTCACAGGACCATGGAGGCTGGGAAGTTCCAGCTCTGCCATTTGGGCTGCAGGTGGAGACCAGGGAGCTGGAGGTGCAGGCACAGTTGCAGGCTGTCCACTGGGGAATCCCTGCTGATTGGTGACACCGGTGGTTTGGGCTGTGCAGGCTCTCCTGGTTAATGAACTTCACACACACGATGGAGTGGAACCTGCTCTTCTCAGAGTTCATTCACTCAAGTGTTGATCAATTCCTAAGAACTCCACAAGGAGACACATGATCCTCACAGAGGACCAACAGGCTGACCTACAAACTCCACTAACAAAGCCCATCCTGTAACTTTTGAGCACAGCCCTACAATCTGGTACGACACAATGGTGAAATCTTAGTCTGGACTCAGTCATTTCACCAACGTCTTCTGGTCCCTCAATAGAGAGTAGAGTTATTTTTAATTGTATGTATACAAAAAATAAAAGAGTATGAGATTTTCAATTAAAAAACTGCATTTTCTTCAGAGTTTTACACTATGCCATGCACGTAGTAACAAGAAATGGAGCCAAGATGTCATAGCACATGCACTGGCCATGAGGTGTGAAGGGAACACACACACTGTCACCAAAATGGAGGACAAGGTAATAGGACAGGGATATAAAATAAACACTCTGAATCCTCAAGGTTAAACTTGAAAGGATAATGGCAGCCAAAACGATGGGCTACAACAAGGATACACCTGCACTTCCGGGCTCTGTTGTGGAGATTTCGAGTACATATGAGGAAAAAGACCCATCAGGTTAGGTTTTTGTAATCATACAGATCATATGAAATTCACAGAACCTCTGCCCATGGACTTCGAATGTTTTTTACTCTATTTTTAAAACATAGTACATTTATCATTTCATTTATGATTGGGGGCCTATGTGCTCTAAACTGTTGCTTCTCAGGTTGCATTCCGTCTTTCACATGAGGTTTTCACATGACCAGTATTTTGGAATGTTTTCCATTGCGAGAGTATCTAATGATCTCTGATCTCACTTGCTTTGTTTTTGTTTTTCTTGTTATTTTTTGAGACAGTCTCACTATGTGATTTAGAATGGTCTTGGATTGACTATGCAGCCCTGGCTGGCTTTGAACTCATAGAAATCCTGCTGCCTCACAGTCTTGACTTCTGGGATTATAGGTTTGCACCTCCACACACATCTGGATCTCTCATTTAAAAAATGCAGCGATGTAAAATTTTGTTGACAAGTTTGGAATCCTCCTTGAATGTTTTCATCAGAAATAGATGAACATTTCACTTTCATTATTGATAGTATTGGCCTTCTTCTATCTTGGTTTTTGAGACAAGCACCGGGATGTCCCAACACAAAATGTGGTCCCATGTGTGGTGTTCTCTGGGCCCATCTGAAGGTCAGGGCCAGGAGGAGCTGCACTGTGTGCGCAGAGCAGGGCCCTCTTCATCCCAGCACAATCAGCATCTCTGAGAGGCAGGTGGGGATGAAGCCAGATACCAAGGCTCATATGCCCTTGCTCCTTGAGTATTTCCCTACATCTTCCTCCTGTCTCCCTCTGACTGGTGTAAGGTGAGCTGCTGAGGTGATTTTCCAAACATTCTATTCAGGCTGCACATTTAGAAACTTGAGTCATTATGAAGCCATGAGTCTTCAGGGACAGGGTTGTACGAGGAAAGGTCAGAATGTCTGTAGTCCATGAGAGGTCCCAGCATTTTCAGATAGTAGTAGACTTCTCTGATTACAAAAAGCCAAGAATGGGCTGAGACAGAGTAACATGGACTCCAAGAAAATTTCCCAAATGAGTTAACTGTGAAAATGTAGGGAATAAGATCTAGAAGTTGTCTATGAAGACTACCCTCAGGGATGCAGCAATACCTTTTTAAAATGCAGTCATGGAGAGGTGGACAGGCATGGCACCAAGAAGAAAGAAAGCATAGTTAGATTCTTAAATATTTTGCTCTGTCTCCAGCAAAAGCCCAGCAAATACACAATTCTCTGCCTTACTACAAACTCTCCCCTGGAAAGGCACACTTTAGTAAATACATTCAGCACATCAGAACCCTTTCCGGACATGGACACTTTCATGTTAAAGTTGCCAATGAAAACTGTGCTCAAAATGAACAAAATCTTTGCTCCAACTCAATTTATCTGTGTGTAGAAGTATCAGTACCACAGAAGATACAGAACAGTGTCTTTGGGCTGTTTCTCGCCCCAGTGCAATTGATCATCATAAGCAAAACACTCTCCTGGGAAGAAGCACCACACCCTGCCCTCTGTCCACCTCTTATACCCTCACTGGTTTCCCCATGCAAAACAACCCCAGGCTCCAGATGAAAAGCCAGACCTGGCTGAGCAACCCCAGTCTCCCCTCACAGGAGCCTTCAGAGAGCATGGAGTCCTTGGTGCTGCTCCTCTGCCTGGTGGCGGCTCCCTGCTGTGAGTGTCTCTGAGTTTCAGGAGAGGGAGCGGGGCACAGGGTGTGTGGTGCGTTTGACTGATGGTGAAGCTTCTTGTCCCCAGGTGTCCTCTCCCAGGTGCAGCTGAAGGAGTCAGGACCTGGCCTGGTGAAGCCTTCAGAGACCCTGTCCCTCACCTGCACAGTCTCTGGATTCTCTTTCACTGATTATGCTGTAACCTGGGTCCGTCAGCCTCCAGGGAAAGGACTGGAGTGGATCGGTGTGATAGGGAGTAGTGGAAATACAGAGTATAACTCAGCCCTTCAATCTCGAGTGAGCATCGGCAGGGACACTTCCAAGAGCCAAGTCTCACTATCATTGAGCAGCCTGAGATCTGAGGACACAGCCGTGTATTACTGTGCAGGAGACACAGTGATGGGAAATCAGTGTGAGCCCAGATGCAAACCTCCCTGCAGGGGCTCCCAGGACGACAGGGGGCAGGCAGGACACACTGAGCTCTTGTCGGGCCCAGGAACAGGTGCAGGATCCTGGGTCTGCTTTGCTGTTAGAGTCTGTGGTTTTCTCTTCCTGTCCCCAACTTTGCTCAAGAACTTCTTCAGTGTAGGCTTCTACAGACTTTGGATTTTTAAAAAATGTACCTTCTTTCTTATGAGTACATGTTTGCAGTAGAGCCAGTTTACAGTCAACTTCAGAACGGAGTGCATGTATAGAGTGCCGCTTGATCCTTTAAGGAATCTCCATTCTATTCATCATTAACTTGACTCTTCCCTCCTCTAAATCTCCTTTCCACATTTTAGTTCATGTTGGTTGATATTATTGAATTTATCTCATGTTTATGACATATAAAATTTACATTCATTTTTCAGGTTCATGTACATGGCACGTACATATCCTAATTTTTTTTCCTGTCCCCTATTTTTTCATCTATGTTCTCTTGGACTCCTTCCCATTTGTAAGAGATCTACCTATTGTCTTGTCTCCTTCTAGCCATTCTTTACTGTGCTTTATGTTTATATTTTGCCTCACTCAAATGAGAAGTACTATACGGTACTTAAGTTTTTGTGTCTGATTCATTTTACACAATATTATATTTTCCATGTGCATCCATCTCCCTACAATGTCTCAAATCCGTCCTTCTTCATAGCTGAGTGACATTCCACTAATTCTCGATACCACATGCATCCTCTGTTGATGGGCATACAAGCTGCTTCCGGAATTTAGCTCTTAGGCATAGTGCTGCTATAAGCACCGGTGTGCACATTTTGCTGTAGCACGATGTGCTTAGCTCTTTCGGGAAGATACCTGGAAGAGAGCGAGCTGGGTCTTATGGAATTTCAAATGTGAGCTGTTTAAGGAATTTCTGTCCTGAGTTACACAGTGGTTGTACCAGTTTACATTCCCACCAACAATGAAAGAGCGTCTTCTTTTACCTGCAGCCACAGCAGAATTGTTACTAGTAGATTTTTTTAATGATTGCAGTTCTGTCTGGCAAAAGATAGAACGTTAACATTGTTTTAGTTTGAATTTCTCTAAAGGCCAGGAATGTTTAATATCTTTTCCCATATGCATTGGACACTTGTATGTCTTCCTGTGAGATGGACTTGTACATTTTACTTGCCTGTTTCTTGACTGGGTCTTTTCTTTTATGTGATCTAATCTTTTTGAGTTTTTCATACAGTCTAGGTATCATTCCTCCCTCTAAGGAATAGCTTGAAATGAATTCCCCATCGTGTCCGTTGTTTCTTCACTCTGCTAATTCAATTTGTAGATGCTTTTTGATTTGATGTGATCTAAATTTGTTAATTCTTAGTGTTTCTTATTATAGAAATATGGTTCTGTTTAGGAATTATCTCTTAAATCTATGACTTAAAGTGTTTTACCTATTTCCTTATCCAGTAGGTAAATATTTGTAATTGCTCTGACAATGACAAACATTGAAAGAAAGGCTGCTCTGATCCAGGCTCTGCATGTTCCAGATTCCATTGTACAAATTCATATAAGCGGTAAAATCACTTTCAACTTCAAAATCCAAAACTAGGATTATTTTCTCAGTTGCTTTTAGATAATCTCTTTGCACATAAAAATGAGCCATGGGTGCACACATTTGCAGTTTGCACAGCAAAATTCTGCCTGTTGCAACTCTTTCAGGTCCTTTCCATGGACAATAAACTGCCCTGCTTTCCATGCTTTCGTATTTTTTCTTTTAAATTAAGATACATTTTCATTAAATAAAAATTAAACTCAACCAGCTGAATTAGTGTGGAGTCTTTGCATTTCGATGATCTTTACTATTCTTCCTCCCCAGCCCATCAACACCTCCTTGCCCAAGGCTCTCTCTGCGGACTCCGCTTCTCTGTATCTTAACTGGTCTCCATATTTGCAGTTTGAATTATTTATTGTTTTGCCTTCTCATAGTAGAGAACCATGCAGTATTTACACATCAGTGTCTGATTCCTTCAACAGCATGATGATTTCATAATCCATCCATTTTCCCAGATGGCTTACTGTGCACCCACTGAATGCCCTGAAACCACAGATCAATCACACTTCTCCTCTTTTTAGTTATGGATGTTGGGTATTGTGTTCTAGCAACAGAAGACTATTGCAACCACTTTGATTTTGAGATTAAAAATCACCCTTAAAAGAAAGATTGCAGAAGCATTGTCCACAGAGAAAAGGCATCATGACTGGTGTCGTTATTCTTCACAGAGGCTTTATGGATCATTTTTATTCCATGACTTTTTCTTTGTTCTTGGAGGCCACAGCATTGTGTTTACTGATACTATGGAAGGTTGTGTGTTCTCACACTGACAGACCACAAAGGGTCTGTCACAAAGGGTTTTCATTTCAAAATTTCAACTGGGACCCCAAGATGTTTGAACTCAAAAAAGAGTGCTACAGTCTTCCTAAAAGCCTTGGACTCTGACATTATCATAAAACTTACTAGGGGAGGAAATCCTTTGAAGGATACATTTCCAAATAGCAAGGCTTCTTTCCAGGGAGATTCTTTTTCCTGTTAAGATTTTCCTTCCTCAGTGATCATGTCTAGAGTCACCAGACATTCTTCATGCTGCCTCCGCATCAGCACTCAGAGACGGACTCCTCGCTGTCACATTGTGCAATCAATAATTACCATGGGATTGTCAAACCAACAAGACCTGGCAGCAAACTCAGCATCATAGTCAGCTCTGGCCTTTTCCCCACATCCCAAACAATGTTTTTTCCATTAATGATGATCACTGTGGACAGAGGTACACAGTCCTCTGTGTGGTTTTTAGTCAGGATCATGACAAATTTCCCAACACATGATTTAGGGAACTATCAAAATTAAAAAATTTTTTCTCATTGATTTTATTGGTACATTTTAAGTATACTGTACAGTTACATTCATAACTGGGATCTTGTACCTTTGCATGAGACGTCTTAGTTCTCATTTTTTCCCCTTACCCCTGCCCTCCTTTCAACTCCTCCTCCTTTCCCTATTTACAAACACTTTATTTCCATTTTTTCATTTTCTCATATTTTTTCTTTTCCTTTATTTCCTTGCCCAACCCTTCCCACTACTCCTATGCCTTTAGCCCTTTTCTTTCTATTTCACATTGTCAATATATGCCATTAGGATCTTATGTACAATTATAGTTTTTCACACCAGAGAAACTATTCGGTATTTATACATGTGTGACTTATATATTCCCCTTAAGAGTGTGACCTCAATATGCATCCACTTTCCTATGAATGACTCTATTTTCTCATTCTTTATGGCTGAGTCCTATTCCATTTCATATAAAATGGTTTATTTAATGGTCATTTTATTTTTGTCTTACAGAGTTATTGTTGTAGTGGAATGAGATGCTCCTGACTGGAGAGCAATGAACATCACTGATTTTCCCCATCTATTAACCTAATCACTTTTGTTTATTTTGCAGGCAAATCATTAATGTGACTGCTTCCTGGAATCTTTTCATGAGCTTATTGTAACCAGGAGATAAGTTGGACAAAACATTCAATTCATTACTAAATATTTTTAAAAGGAAAAGGGAAATTATAGAATAAAAAGTAATTACCTAAAAAAATAGGCAACTTTGGATAGTGGAATATGGGACAGTGCATTTCAGAAAGGAGGTTATAAGCTGAAGGAGTACCCTAAGAGCACCAGCATTTAAAGCACTAATTAAACCAATAATGGCCACGTTTATTATCATCCATTTTGGAGAGAAGACATTTGGATGTGACATGATTTACATGTCAGGCACAGCAGTACATTTATTTACACCAGAATCACCACAAGCACATCGACAATGCAGTGCCTATGATATTAGCAAATCTAGGACAGCACTCGGGGAGAAGCTTTGTCTGTGCAGTTGTGGCCTTGCAAGCTGCCCATCCACAGCGGACACATTGCTGTGTGGAGCAGAGCTGTGATAGTTCAGTGCCCGGGATCAGCATGTGGGCAGAATCAGACTGATGAAAGAAATCTGGATGACGCTTCAGATGGAAATGAGGAGAAGTGTACTGGAAAGTGAGGGTAAAGACATCTTTGCATCCAATGGGGAAAAAAGGGTGTTTATGTCCAGGTGTATGGTGAATGTCAAAAGTTTCCAGGAAGCCATGAGACATGGTGGGATAAATCTCCTAAGTACACTCTGAGGGTTGAGAATAGATTTTCCTCATTTCTAATGATAAAATGAGTGAAAACGGCAACAGGATATAATGAAATATCAATTCAAAAGGAAAGGAAAACTTAAATATTTGGAAGTGTCCCAGCCTGGCCATGTCATAACGAGAGCAAAGATTTCTTAGGGCCAACACTGAGGTCTTGTATAAGGAAGTTGTGATAAGGAGAGTGGCATAGACTGAGACAAGCCTAATGCTGCTGAACAGGAAAAGAGAAAATGATTCCAATGGTGTTTAGAGTCTTCCACTCCCACACAAGCCTAGAATACATGAACTTGAGGTCATGACAGCCATAGATGGTCATGCTGTCATTTCTCAGGGTTTCCTCAAGTGTCAGCCCCATATATTTGGGGACCACATTCCTGAGTCACCACACGTGTGGCTCCTGTGTGTCCAAGCACAACGTGGGCCTCCATGGTTGACACTGCAGAGTGCACAGACCATGTATGTCCATGGTGTGCATTAGATGAACTCTCTGCAAGTGTACCAAGTCCAAGCACTGTGGTCATGGAAGCCTCCATCTGACCTCAAAGCAGACCTGGTCATCTGCAGGCTCAGGCAGGAACCTCTGTAGAAGGCAGAAGCTGCAGAGACCCTCCACAAAGGCAATGGCAGCACAAGTGTGGGGTGAGAGCCACCAAGAGAGGTGCCCAAGAGCAGTGCCTTGTAGACCTTGCAAACTGTTGCCCCATTGGCCACAACGCACCTGGCCCACAGAACCATCAGGAAGGAAACCTGCTGTGGGACACTGCTGGCGCCACCTCGCACCCACGTGGCCTCTTGTAGGAGCTGAGCTCTGAAAATCATGTTGATGGAGCTGAAAGGACCATGTGAAATGTGACGTAAATTCACACTGACATGAAGTCAAAGGGGCTTACTATGGATCCTTCAGGGTAAACATTGGTCCAGTCAGGTTGTGCTTATTATTGGTTCTCCTTACTCCTTTGTATCACCTCTTTAGATTGCAACTATCTATGCCTTGGAAGGCTCAGCACTGTAGTGGGGAAACACGGAACTTGTTTCATTTCATGATGACAAATTAGGGAGAATCACATGCAAAATCTCACCCATAATTCATTTAGATGACATTTACATCAGGCTTGGAGAAGGGTCCTAAAGAGATTTAAAACTTTGGAGTGGTTGTGAGGGAATAGGACGATGTTAGTAAGAGATAAAGACATGGGAGTGGGAGGACGGGATAGAAAACTATGGTTGGAAACCATGGGCCCTCAGAGTTTATAGATTGGAACTCATGTGTGCCCTGGTGGATATCAATAATATATGGTGTCTTTTTTGGGAAATTTCCCAGGGATACTTGATTCTTAGTTGAAATCAGGACTGTCGTATCATGAGCATATCACTTTTTTTTTTTGCCTCCCTGCAGTGTAGGGACACAGTGTGCATTTCTCCTGTGACCTGAGGGTGCAGAATCTAGACAAGGTCTGGGAGCACACAGCTCTCCACCTGGGAAACCAAATCTGCCATTGCCTGTTCGTAAATCTCTGTGTCCACAAATACGACAAATGCCTGTATTTGATGTAAGGTGCTCCTTGCATGGTATTTTTTGAGCAGCAGTAATAGAACACACTCCTCCCCAGTTTGTGTATATGTTAAATTCACACTCTCATGTTTCAACACACTCAGCCTTTAGTAATCTGTAAGTCGCTAACAACTTAATCTTCTTATTACATGGCACAGGGTGACCTCAGCTCCAGTCAGATAAGTCTTGCCCTTATTTTCTTGTGCAACCTCAAAATTTCCAGGTTCCATATTTTTACTGCCTTGCAACTTCATTCTTTTGGTGCACTGAAAAACATTATTAATTTATATTTAATCCAGTTTTTCAGTTATAGTTATACTCTGTGTTGTAAAAAAAGAGACCAACTTTTTCATGTGTCTGCGTTTGTGTGATGATGAGTAGCTTGCTTTATAACAAGCAGAAGCTTAGACCATTTGATTAAACATTAATAGACTAACTGAAGAATTGAACTGAAATGTTTTATATCTTGTTTCTGTCTGATTGTTAACTTTCTGTGTATATTTTCCATACTGGGAATGAAAATGAAGGCCTCACAATCAGTAGGCAAGCCCACCACTGAGCTGTATCCATGGCTCTGCTTGCGTACATTGGGAAATTAATCAGCATAAATATCCAAGAATGCTGACTCACATAGATATGTGTTGATATTTTAAACAAATATTTGAGTTAAAAATGATCAAATTAGACAGTGTGTGCTCTTTATGTAAATGTTGAAATAGGAAAATTAGTGTAAAGCAACATGAAAGTCATGAGCTGCCTGGAGATAGGATGCAGGAGGGAACCAGCGGGAGGGAGGGATGGCACAGGAGCCCCAGGAAACACTGCTGGATGACACGTGTGTTCCCTGCTCTGTCCATGTGTGCTTGTGGAAGAGCGCTTGTGGATTAATACTTCTCAGGTGCTCACTTCATGGCTGGGCAGTTTACGTGTTCTATCTGATGAACCTGTCACGGATAAACTATCTCTAAATATAGATAAAGAGTGAGCAAGTTTATGACAGTTGAAAATGAGAGATTCACGGACAGGCATCCACATGAACACTGGCTCTGTTTCATCTCAGCAAACAGCAAAACTCAGCAAAGTCACACGTACTCTCTGCACAGGATGAGGGGAACAGCAACATCACCAGGTGCCCCTCTCTGTCCAGGACCTGGAACAGGAAGCAGTTTGTTGACAACTTCAGAGAGCCTAGGCTCAGATAGTAGGGAGAAAATTTACAGAGCATAACCTCTGCTATAGAAGAGGAAACTTTATCCCACACTTTCATAATTTTACATGAATTTTACTTTCATAATTTTCCAAGCAGACAAATTTTATAGAAAGATGCATACTATGTGTAGAACACAAACAAAAGTAGATGAAGAGATAATTTGAAAACATTATCTCATAATGTGTTTTCCTATTATAGTAAATGAATTCATTGGTACCAAACTGTCCCAGCACACTCTCACTGGAAGTGGGCACTGCCCTCTCTGAGTTATCCATCCCCAGTGCTGTCTATATAGCAGGAGGTCATGCAAATAGGGCCTCACTGTGCTGTTACAAAATAGCCCAGCCCTGACCCTGCAGCTCTGCAGAGAGCCCAGCCCTGGATGCCCAGGTGCTCCTCCTTCCTGGTGATCAGGATTGAACACAGGCAGCGCAACATGGACCTTACCATGTGTTGGGTTTTCCTATTTGTAATTTTGAAAGGTAAATTATTTAGTGCAAAAGATACTGAGGGCGTGATGTACACAGTGGACTTGTGTGACAGTTTCCTGAGCAAGATGTCTCTGTGTTTGCAGGTGTCCAAGCAGAGGTGCAGCTGGTGGAGTCCGGGGGAGGCTTGGTGGCACCTGGGGGGTCCCTGAAACTCTCCTGTTTGGCTTCGGGATTCACCTTCAGTGACTACTGGATGCACTGGGTCCGCCAGGCTCCACGGAAGGGGCTGGAGTGGATCTCGCACATCAGTAGTGGTAGTAGTACCATACGCTACGCAGACTCGGTTAAGGGCCGATTCACCATCTCCAGAGACAACAACAAGAACACGCTGTATCTGGAAATGAGCAGCCTGAGAACCGAGGACACGGCCGTGTATTACTGTGCAAGAGACACAGTGAGGCGACCTCAGTGTGCGCCCACACACAAACCTCCCTGCAGGGGCGCGCTAGTCCAGCAGGCGGCGCTGTGGTCCATGGAGAACCAGGCAGGGCCCCAGCAGCAGGTGCAGAGAAGGCAGCAGAGGGGTGAGGGCTTCCTGTTGGCCTCTGGGGTTTCCCTTCCGTATTAACATCACACGACCTGAGCAAACCTTGAAATGCATGAGCTGCAATGAAGTATCCAAGTATAAGTGAACATTCCGTTAATATTGTTGAAGTATGGAGTTTCACCTCATATATCTAACTTGCACTTGATGGGTAAACCCTGGTCCCTGGTGTGATGACTTCAAACACAGGCAAACATGATCTGAAGTAACTAGGAAACTTTGTCAACTGCATTTTCTTTTCAGTGTCAACTCATCATCATAAACAATTGTATCTGCTAATTTATTCTCAAGTGTGAGGATTTGTCTCATACAAGAATACATGATACAGATTAAGGAATGAAGTCCTTCCCTACCCAATTGACAGAGTCTGAAAACACCCAGCTCTCTCTTCTATCCTTGGCCACCTCAGGATGTCCGGTCCTCAGGCTCAGCACCAGCACCTTGTGGAGTCCCGTGCTCAGGGAGGAGGGAAGAGAGAAACTGGGCTGGACTCAGGGCAGAGTCCAGGGGCCTTGCTGTGCTCTTCCTATCCGAGGGGGCAGAGCAGGGGTTGGGACTACGCTTTTCCTTTGGACTTTAGAAATTGTAACAATTTTAAAACAGACTGTAACACTTCTCCCTCTAAATCCCCCCTCTCTTTCTCTCTCCTCTTTCTTTCTCATCTCTCATCACTAGGATTCAATCTATGTATCAGTAAAAGATGAAGAATACATGAGGGAAAGTGTTCAAGTACGATAACATTCAGTTATCTAAGAAGATTCTCATAATTCTGTATTCATACATTTTCTATATTCTATCTCACTTTTGTCTCAGTTAATTCTGTTTTTCCATCACACATGTATTCTCAAATTTTCCTAAAATGATCAAATATGCTTCTATAATTAATAATATCTTTCTTACACCTATAATTTCTGTGAAGATATTTTTTAGTGAACATAAGTTCATTTCCACACCCAATCCCCGCACACGCATATTTTAGTTCTTTTTTGTTGACCCCCAGTCTCTTGATCCTATTCCCATTTCAGAGACATTTGTCCACTCACTATCATGTATTTAATATGCTATTTATTGTCAGTTTTTCACATTAAAGTTTTGTATTAAGACTTGTTTGCAGTACATAATATTTACTTCCACTTTAGAAAGTAGGTGTTTGGGCTTATCACATCTTGATTCATGTTATTCCCCTTACTCTCCCTTCCTTCCTCCATATTGGGTTTCTGATGGTAACACCCTCACACACACACTGGTACATCTCTGTATATATAGAATGAATCAGAATGATGCCAAGATTCTACTTTAATAATGAGGAGATGGAATAAAATCAATAACAGGAAATAATATAAAATCAAGGGGAAAATTCAGTAAACACAAGGCTGTGTCCACGAAGACATCAACGGAACTGCCTGGCCTTTACCTCTCTTTATTAACAAAAATGAAATTACACAATCTAAATTAAAAATAGAACTTGTGTTCCACATAGCAAAAACTCTTGGTAAATAATACAAAAATGGAAAAATGAAAAAACACACTTCACTCAGACGTGTGAAGAAACCTAAAATTCACAATGATTTAGATGGTACATGTCCTTTACAGCTAGTGCTATAAAGAAATACTCAGTAACTTCGGTTACTGCTCTAACTGTCCCCCGCTTCTCTGGAGGGCTGCATTGGATGTGGTTTTCCAGAGCAGCAGAGATAAACCAGACACATAGTGACAGCACACAGGAAGAGACATTTCCTCCGGAACTGGCTCACAGGACCAAGGAGGCTGGAAAGACCCAGCTCTGCCATGTGGTCTGCAGGTGGAGACCAGGGAGCTGGAGGTGCAGGCACAGTTGCTGGCTGTCCACTGGGGAATCCCTGCGGATGGGTGACAGTGGTGGTTTTTGCTGTACAGACTTTCCTGTTTAATGAACCTCACACACACGATGGAGGGGAACCTGCTCTTATCAGAATTCATTCACACAAGTGCTGGTCAATTCCTAAAAACTCCACAAGGAGACATATGATCCTCACAGAGGACCAACAGGCTGACCTACAAACTCCATTAACAAAGCCCATCCTGTAACTTTTGAGCACAGCCCTACAATCTAGTATGACACAACGGTGAAATCTTAGTCTGGACACAGACATTTCACCAACATCTCATGTTCCCTCAATAGAGAGTAGAGTTATTTTTTAATTGTATGTATACAAAAAATAAAAGAGCGTGAGATTTTGAATTAAAGAAACCTACATTTTCTTCAGAGTTTTACACTATGCCATGCACGTAGTAACAAGAAATGGAGCCAAGATGTCATAGCACATGCACTGGCCATGAAGTGTGAAGGGAACACACACAATGTCACCGTCATGGAGGACACGCTGGTAGGACAGAGATATAAAATAAACACTCTGAAGCCTCAAAGTTATACTTGAGAGGATAATGCCAGCCAAAACGATGGGCTACAATAAGCATACACCTGTACATCTGGGCTCTGATGTGGAGATTTCAAGGACATACAAGGAAAAAGATATGTCAGGTTAGGTTTTTGTGATCATACAGATCAGGTGATACAGAACCTCTGCCCATGGACTTTGAAAGTTTTTTACTCTATTTTAAAAACATAGCACTTTATCATTTCATTTATGATTGGCTACCTAAGTGTTCTAAACTGTTGCTTCTCAGATTGTATTCTGTCTTTCACATGAGGCTTTCACATGACCAGTATTTTGAATGTTTTCCATTGCTAGAGTATCTAACGATCTCTGATCCACTTGCTTTGTTTTTGTTTTTCTTGTTATTTTTTGAGACAGAGTCTCAGTCTGTTATTTAGGATGCCCTTGTATTGACTATGTAGCCCTGGCTGGCTTTGAACTCATAGAAATCCTGCTGTCTCACAGTCTTAACTTCTGGGATTATAGATTTGCACCTCCACACACGTCTGGATCTCTCATTTAAAAAAGGCAGTAGATGAAAAATTTGTTGACAAGTTTGGAATCCTCCTTGAATGTTTTTTTCAGAAATAGATGAACATTTCACTTACAATATTGATAGTATTATCCTTCTCTATCTTGGTTTTTGAGACAAGGACCGGGATGTTCCAACACAGACTGTGGTCCCATTTGTGGTGTTCTCTGGGGCCATCTGAAGGTCAGGGCCAGGAGGAGCTGCACTGTGTGCGCAGAGCAGGGCCCGTTTCATCCCAGCACATTCAGTATCTCTGAGAGGCAGGTGGGGATGAAGCCAGATACCAAGTCTCATATGCCCTTGCTCCTTGAGTATTTCCCTACATCTTCCTCCTGTCTCCCTCTTGATTGGTGTAATGTAAGCTGCTGAGGTGATTTTCCAAATAGTCTATTCAGGCTGCACATTTAGAAACTTGAGTCATTATGAAGCCATGAGTCTTCAGCGACAGGGTTCTAATAGGAAAGGTCAGAATGTCTGTAGTCCATGAGAGATACCAGCATTTTTAGATAGTAGTAGACATCTCTGATTACAAAATGCCAAGAATGGGGTTAGACAGAGATGCATGAATTCCAAGAAAATTTCCCAAATAAGTTAACTGTGAAAATGTAGGGAATAAGATCTAGAAGTTGTCTATGAAGACTACCCTCAAGGATGAAGCAATACGTTTTTAAAAGGCAGTCATGGAGAGGTGGACAGGCATGGCACCAAGAAGACAGAAAGCATAGTCAGATTCTTAAATATTTTTCTCTATCTCCAACAAGAGCCCAGCAAATACACAATTCTCTGCCTCACTACAAACTCTCCCCTGGAAAGGCACACTTTAGTAAATATACTCGGCACATTACAACCCATTCCGGGCATGGACACTTTCATGTTAAAGTTGCCAATGAAAACTGTGCTCAAAATGAACAAAATCTTTGGTGCAACTCAATGTGTGTAGAAGTATCAGTACCACAGAAGATACAGAACAGTGTCATTGGGGCGTTCCTCTCCCCAGTGCAATGGATCATCATAAGAAAAACACTCTCCTGGGAAGGACCAGAACACCCTGCCCTCTTTCCACCTCTTATACCCTCACTGCCTTCCCCATGCAAAACAGCCCCAGGCTCAGGATGAAAAGCCAGACCTGGCTGAGCAGCCCCCATCTCCTCTCACAGGAGCCTATACAGCATGGAGTCCTTGGTGCTGCTCCTCTGCCTGGTGGCGGCTCCCTGCTCTGAGTGTCTCTGAGTTTCAGGAGAGGGAGTGGGGCACAGGGTGTGTGGTGTGTTTGACTGTGACTGATGGTGATGCTTCTTGTCTCCAGGTGTGCTGTCCCAGGTGCAGCTGCAGGAGTCAGGACCTGGCCTGGTGAAGCCTTCAGAGACCCTGTCCCTCACCTGCACAGTCTCTGGATTCTCTTTAACTAGTTATGGTGTAAGCTGTGTCCGTCAGCCTCCAGGGAAGGGACTGGAGTGGATCTGTGTGATATGGAGTGGTGGAGGTACAGTTTATAACTCAGCCCTTCAATCTCGAGTGAGCATCGGCAGGGACACTTCCAAGAGCCAAGTCTCACTATCATTGAGCAGCCTGAGATCTGAGGACACAGCCGTGTATTACTGTGCAAGAGACACAGTGATGGGAAATCAATGTGAGCCCAAATGCAAAACTCCCTGCAGGGGCTCCCAGGACGACAGGGGGCAGGCAGGACACACTGAGCTCTTTTTGGGCCCAGTACCATGTGCAGGATCCTGGGCCTGCTTTGCTGTTAGAGTCTGTGGTTTTCTCTTTCTGTCCCCAACTTCGCTAAAGAACTTCTTCAGTGTAGGCTTCTACAGACTTTGGATTTTTAAAAAATTTACTTTCTTCCTTATGAGTACATGTTTGCAGTACAGCCAGTTTACAACCAACTTCAGAACTGGGTGCATGTATAGAGTGCCGCTTGATCCTTTAAGGAATCTCTATCCTATTCATCATTAACTTGACTCTTCCCTCCTCTAAATTTCCGTTCCACATTTTAGTTCATGTTGATATTATTGAAATTATCTCATGTTTATGACATATAAAATTTACATTCATTTTTCAGGTTCATGTACAGCACGTACATTCTAATTTTTTTTCATGTCTCCTATTTTTTCATCTATGTTCTCTTGGACTCCTTCCCATTTGCAAGAGATCTACCTATTGTCTTGTCTCCTTCGAGCCATTCTTTACTGTGCTTTATGTTTATATTTTGCCTCACTCAAATGAGAAGTACTGTATGATATTTAAGTTTTTGTGTCTGATTCATTTTACACAATATTATATTTTCCATGTGCATCCATCTCCCTACAATGTCTCAAATCCATCCTGCTTCATAGCTGAGTAACATTCCACTAACTCTCAGTGCCACACGCATCCTCTGTTGATGGGCATACAAGCTGCTTCCGGAATTTAGCTCTTATGCATAGTGCTGCTATAAACACCGGTGTGCACATTTTGCTGTAGCACGATGTGCTTAGCTCTTTCGGGAAGATACCTGGAAGAGAGAGAGCTGGGTCTTATGGAATTTCGAATGTGAGCTGTTTAAGGAGTCTCTGTCCTGAGTTACACAGTGGTTGTACAAGTTTACATTCCCAGCAGCAAAGAAAGAGGGTCTTGTTTTACATGCAGCCATGGCAGAATTTGTTACTAGTAGATTTTTTTTGATGATGGCAGTTCTGTCTGGCCAAAGATAGAATGTTAACATTGTTTTAGTTTGAATTTCTCTAAAGGCCAGGAATGTTTAATATCTTTTTCTATATGCGTTGGCCACTTGTATATCTTCCAGTGAGACGTACCTGTACATTTTACTTGCCTGTTTCTTGACTGGGTCTTTTCTTTTACGTTATCTAATCTTTTTGAGTTTTTCATACAGTCTAGGTATCATTCCTCCCTCTGAGGAAAAGCTTGAAATAAATTCCTCATCGTGTCCATTGTTTCTTCACTCTGCTAATTCAGTGTGGAGATGCTTTTTGATTTGATGTCATCTCAGTTTGTTAATTCTTTGTGTTACTTATTGTAGAATTATGGCTCTCTTTATGAAATCTCTCTTAAGTCTATCACTTAACGTTTTCTAACTATTTCATTATCCAGTAGGTAAAGATTTGTCATTGCTGTGACAATGACAAACATTGAAAGAAAGGCTGCTCTGATCCCAGCTCCGCATGTTCCAGATTCCATTGCGCAAATTGCTATACGCGGTAAAATCACTTTCAACTTCAAAATGCCAAAATAGGATTATTTTCTCAGTTGCTTTTAGATAATCTCCTTGCAGAAAAATAATGAGCCATCGGTGCACACATTCCCAGTTTGCACAGCAAAATTCTGCCAATTGTAACTCTTTTCAGGTCCTTTCCATGGACAGTAAACTGCCCTGCCTTTCAAGTTTTCGTATTTTTTTCTTTTATTTATTTTTTATTTTTTTGTGCTGCGGATTGAACTCGGGTCGTAGCTCTTGCAAGGCAGGCCACCGAAGAGCTGAGATAAATCCCAGGTCCGTATTTTTTCTTTTAAATTGAGATACATTTTCATTAAATAAAAATTACATCGAACCAGCTGAATTAGTGTGGAGTCTTTGCATTTCGATGATCTTTAGAACCCTTCGTCCCCAGCCCATCACCACCTCCTTGCCCAAGGCTCTCTCTGCAGACTCCGCTTCTCTGTATCTTAACTGGTGTCCATATTTTTTGTTTGAATTATTTATTGTTTTACCTTCTCATATTAGAGAACCATGCAGTATTTACACAGCAGGGTCTGATTCCATTAACAGCATGATGGTTCCATAATCCACCCATTTCCCTTCAAAATACTCAAATTTATCCTTCTTTAGGGCTGACTACTGCTCCTTGTATTTAAATACTGTTTAATTTATTCTTCTGTTGAGGAGTACGTAGGCCATTTTGACGGTTTAGCTATTGTGGCTTCTGCAGCTCCAAATACGGATAGGCGCATATCATGACAATACAATGACCTTAATATTTTGGAAATTTATCCAGAAGAGGAAAAGCTGAGCCAAACACAGGTTTTAATTTCCATTTCTATTTGTTCTATTTTTGTTGACCCAGTAATGAAAAATTTAGAGTTATAAATGACTTCAAAACTGTTTATTACATGGAGTTCTGCGATTCACAAACTGTTTGCCTTTCTATTAGCAGTTAAAAGCATTTCTCAAAGGTTAACTCAAATAACTTTATTGTGATCCTCCTGTGTTAATGCTGTGAATTTTGGGTCTGTTAGGAGGTGGGACAAACAGGACAGAATGGTTGACTTAGCTCACCGACCGTCAGAGCAGGCCCGAGCTGTTGAGTAAACAACCCTTTCAGGAAACACTTCAGGCCAGAGCACCTAGATCCACCTCCTGTGTACAGCGTGTCTTCCCCCGGGGATTATATCCTGGAGGAAGCCTAATCTGAATTCCATATCTCTGCCTCTGTTCTAAGATAAAAATGAATCAGAGATTTGGAAACCTCTGGAAGATAACACAGGGGGGAAATTGAAGGCATGGGCACTAGCAAAGACGTCCCTGACGGAAGTCCAACAGCACAGAAATAATTTCACCAATCAACAAATGTGACTGTATCGTATTAGAAAGCTTCTGTACATCAAAGCAAATTCCCCTCACAGTGAAAAGATAAACATAACAATGGGGAAAATTCCAGGTACTCTTCTAAAAACTTATTGAAAACCTACATGCTAAAGGGGCAGGGCTTTAGCACAATGGTGCAGGTGCCTGCCTTGCAATTTCAGGGTCCTGAATTTGATTCCTGTCCCACCATATAACAACAACAATAACAACAACAAAATGACAGCCTAAAGAAATAATAAATGACTCACTCAAAAAATAGACAAGAAAATTAGACAGTTTTCAAGAGAATGAAAGATAAAAAGCTAAGTAGTTAGTAAAAAAATGTTCACTATCTTCAGTAATTAAGCAATATACATCAATACTATTCTGAGACTACATCTTCATTCAGAATGCCTATCATCTAGGATACAAAAGGCTAAAAATGCTGGTAAGAATGTGTGGGGAAAGAAACTCTTCTACAATGATTTTTTAAAATGTAAACAAGTGCAATATCTATGGAAATTAGTTCTGAGAATCTTCCAAAAGCTCGAAATAGAAATTGCATTTGATTCAACAATACCAATAGGAGATATACATCCAAAAAAGTTAATGTCTTCTCAGAAAGAAAAGGAAGAAGAGAAGGAGAGGGAGAGGGAGAGAGAAGTTGAGGGAGAGGAAGGGAGAGGAGGGGGAGAGAGGCTGAGAATAAGACATAATCCAGTAGCCAGGTCCTCATGAACTACTTAACTCAAAGGAGGGCTGCACTTCTAACAGCTCATTCAGCTAAGACCACAGCAAAAGACTACACTATTGAAGACAGTGCTGCCCACAGGATCAGGTCACCTCTCTAACCCTATCTCTGAATATCAATGCACTGGGCTCCAGGCTTCTCCTCTCATTCTCCCTCTCCCCCTTCTTCCCCTTCCCCTTGCATTTCGTCCTCTTCCTCTCCTCCTTCTCCTTTTCCTTCTCCTTCCCTTCTCCTTTCCTCCTCCTCTTCATCCTCCTCCACCATGTAGCTGGGCTTTAACTCATGTTCCTCAAGTGACAGAGAATAAGGATGGATGTGAACTTCAGAGGTGAACACAAAGTGAGTTGTTGAAGTGACTTCAGCTCTGGGATGTGATGGGCACTGGTTTTTAGAGGCGTCCAGTTCCTATTTACTATTGCTGTCCAGTTTTATTTACTATAGTGTATATTTGGATTCAATAAAATGTTTTCAAGTGCAACACAGCAAAGAATTTTTTGATTCCTTGAAACTAAATCTATATAAGTGCAATAGAGAAGAGACAGAGACACCGATGGCAGAAGCACATTATCAGTGCCGTTAATTCGGACGAAATGGGAAGTTTATAATTCTAGGAGGTCCTAAGAACTCAAGTTAGTACAGAAAAACAAACCTCAGTACAGAAGGGAAATGTATTTTGACAAGGCTAAAAATGACACTACACAAGTATAAATATTTACTTTGATTGAGAAAATAATGGGAAGAAAGTTTGAGATGAACACGTATTTTCTCCATAGAAACTCATGAACATAGATTTGTATAAATGCATCTCACACACACAAGGAAACACTCAAGTCAAATGAGTGACTCAAAGCCTGTAAAATTGACAGTTCCATATTAAAGAAGATTTGCTCAGAATTTAATGGTACGACTAAGTTCAGTTGTGGGCCCGAAAACTTTTCATGATGTCCTACTTTCATCATTACTTTTCTGAGTGGAAAGGGGACTAAGAGTTGACAGAAGCAGGGAGAAAGAGGATGGGAACGGGATGAGCAGCAAAAAGGGAGAATGAAGATGTAAACTGTACTAACTCCTCGCAGTAAATGTAACGATTATGTATGGCCAATGTGTAGAATACTAATAAGGAACACGCATTTAAAAACCTTTGGAATATGCACATTTTAACAATGAGCATACAGAGAAAGTAAATGGACTTGGTGCAGTGTCCATAAGTCGATGTGCACATGTGGACCTGTACCATGGATGTACGTTGTGAGTACGCACACACACATGTACATATGTGCTTAGTTCTGAACCCTACAGTGCTCTTATCCTGGGGCCCTGTGTACTAGTTTCCATAGATTCAAAGCCCTCTTTCATCTGAGAACTCATCCAGCTCTAACCAGCTTCTGCCTCACAAGTCCTGTCCTGGAGGGAGAGGACCTAGGCAGTGGAGCCAGGGACAGCACCTGGCCCTCGGAGGGCTCAGGCAGAATCCTCCACCCAGGGGCAGTCTCCAAAACAGAGACCTCCTGTGTCTCCCTCATGCCTTTGCAAACAAGATATGGCCTGGGATTTGTATTGCTAATCGGAAAGAAATTGGAACAATTCTCCCTCATCTTTTTACTGGTGGCAGCTCCCAGATTCGAGTGTCTGAGTGTTCAGACAGAAGGGTGAGCAGATGTTGCATCTGAGCTCCAAACTCACTCTGTTCTCAGCCCCACTGTCTTCTTCTAGGTGCAGCTACAAAAGCTGAGACTTGGCCTGTCCCTCAACTCTGCATGTTCTGGTTACTGAATCAGTAGTGATTACTCAGGAGCTGGAGTCATCAGCCCTGGGCAAGGGAACAGAATAGCAGGACAGTGCGATTTTAGTGGAAGCACAATTTCTGTTTCATCCCTGACAGTCAATGTAGCATCTTCAGAGACACATCCAGTAATTAGTTTTCCCTGCAGTAGGGCTCAGTAACCATATTGGTCTCAATTGTGCATTACTATGAAAAAGATATTGCGTGGAGACATCCACATCAACCCAAACCCAAACTCCTGAGCTTGTGCTTAGCTGGGTTTTCCTTGTAATTTTTGGTGAGCAAGAGATACTAAATGTGCGAGTGGAAGTGTGAGAATAACCTGTGGGCATGAGGGGACATCAGTGTGAGCCCTGACACACACCTCCTTGCAGGGCCGTTCAAGACTCACAGGGTGCACTAGAGATGCAGGGGAAACCAAGTTGTTTTCCTGTTAGGATCTGAGTCTTCTTTCAACACAGTACTTATTTCCAGACACTTTGGTTTCATATATCTGTCCTTACCTCTGATGTGTCTCCTTAGTCACATGTGTTTAAATAGTAGAAAACGTTCTCAACTGTGCAAAACACAATTTAACACTTGAGATAAAATTGATTCTGCTGAGTTCCTGAGGACCAGATCCTAAGGAGTCTCAGGGAACCTGGTGAAAATCTGGTAGGAATTTGGAATCCGCAGTGAGAAGCAGTCAGTCTGAGCCCAGACACAAACCTCACTTCTCGGTGATCAGGACCAGCAGGCGATGCCCAGTGCAAACAGGGGATGCTGATTCCCTCCAAAGGGAGCTGAGGACCACAGCACAGCACTCAGCATGATCAGGATGCCCAGGAGCCGGACCTTCCAGGGGCTCAAAACAGGAGCAGGGGCCCTGGGACCCAGGGGAGACTTCACCTGCGTTCTCCTTGCTGTTCATCCCTCATGAATCATTTCTCTCTCTGTAAGTGGAACCATAATGGGCTCTATGTCTTTTTCATGAGGTCTTCCTTATGCACGATAACATTTATATATAATATTTTAGATAACATTTATAATGTTTTGAACCATTTGTAACTAAACCTGGAGGAAATCTTTTCATTGAATTTATTTTTCTTCTTCAGGTATCAGCAATCTCATCAATTTAAAGTAAAATGTCCATTATTGATCAGTACATTTCCTGTTAAAACAACTACAATCATCAGTACAATGTCTTCTTAAGACATTTTCCTAAATTGCCAAAGGAACACCATCCATTTTTAGCCATCTCTTTTTGTTCTTCCGTTTCGCTCTCTTTCT